GCAACATCCCAAAGAAATTGTTTAGCCCTGCATTTGCAACATCTCAATCTCTGAACGTTTTCTCTCTCTCTCTCTCTCTCTCTCTCTCTCTCTCTCTCTCTCTCTCTCTCTCTCTGTGTGTGTGTGTGTGTGTGTGTGTGTGTGAGGGTTGGTGTGTGTGTGTTTTCAAGAACAGGGTCTACAATCCTTATTCTGAATATTGAATGAGCTCAGGAAAAAAAAAACTTAAAGTGAGTGTCTCACCAAATATGTGTGACAACGGTTATAAAAATTAAAAATTCCAAAAGCAACTTTCTTTTGTCATGGAAGTAAGCGGAGATCATTTAGGGCATGTATTTGAGGTTCTTTTGTTGTTGAAGTGAGCATAATAAAATGACGCAATTCATAAATATGGCTTATTTTTTATTAAAAGTTGAGATTTCGTCCAGTGTTTAATATTTTGTTTGGTAGTTTTACATCAAAAACTAATGAATACATGCGCTAAATCAGTCGTCACTAGCTTTCTGTTGAAAATAAAGTCGATGCAAATGTAAATAATTGTTTACAGTCTATAATTATTTATAATTCCGTGAAATGAAATTGACTCTAAAAAGAATTAGATTTAAATTCCTAAGCATGCTACTTCATGTCATTTAAATACATGTACTAAATCATTTGACAGATTGAATGATATATACAAAAAGGGGGTAAAATCAGTCCTGCTTCTATTTCGCGTTTGCATCTGCGATAGGTATCAAAAGATTTCATTCGATGGGCGCTATTATGGCCAGTTAATTTCAATTAATTTCAGGCATTCAATTGCAAGCTTAATTTCTGTTGATTGACAAGGGTTCACAGACCAGGTAAATTTGAAGTCGATGCTTATTTCCTCCCCCTTAAAGGTTGTCAAATTTATACTCGGCAATTACTACCTTTGAGCTGTGAGAGTTCTTTATCGTGCCCCCAACGACTATCCTGACATTAGACTTACCGGTAAGATTTTAAGATCAGATCCCAAAGACACGTGGCTATCACTTCTAATGCCTGGAGCTTGACGAAGGAACAGTTACCACGTATGTAAACCATTTGGGATTGACGCAGTGCTGGGAACAAGAATTGAACCCGGTACCTCCCAATCACCTACCACTAGGCTTCCGTGACTGGTGAAAAGTAAGTTTAGAGTGCCCTCTCTTATTTTTCTGGATAAAAGCATGAGTAATTTCCCTATGTCAGTGGCAACTCAACTGTCCTATTCCAAGCATGCACCGTATATACTTTCATTCAATATTTCTTTCAAAGTTTTTGACTTTTGTTTTGTTTAACTCACCTGAGGAAAATATTCAACATTTAGAATACATATAGACGATAGGTAATTATTCACGCTCTGTTATTTGATCCAGGTGCGTTTAAATATATCTGCTTATTAGATGGTAATCGTGAATTGCAATTTATATTATTGAACACAAAATAATAACTTTTTAACTGATTACACTGTAACCAACAAATATGTCATTTCAGTCTGTATGAAAGCTTTTAATGTGCATCTGAAACAAGAAGACTGAATATCAGTGAGTTTTCCTTAATCAACGAATTGTTTGGGTATTTCATATACTTTGATCCAGAATAAATGATTAAGAGAAGAATACTAGTATTTAGTCCTTAATATGAATATACACAAAATTGTCCAAAACCTAAATCATCTCATAAAAATATTTTATAATGAAAAATTGCAAGATCTAAAGTCACATTTCTTATTATTTCTCACTTCATTGAATAATATAAATAATGATTTAAAAAAAAAAAAAAAAAAAAAAAAAAAAAAAAAAAAAAAAAAACTTTAAATATGATATTTCGCCAATGTTAAATGAGATAATGAATCCATGTTCGAACTACAATGAAGCGCATTGAAGTGGTAATTTTTTTTCGCCTGAATAGAAGGTTTTGAGCTTTCATATGAACGTTGACTGTCACATAATAACACGCCCATTTCTTCAGAAAGAAAAATAGCGGTCGAATAGCTCACTCGAATACCTGTAGAACTGGTATTCCATAAATACATTAGCCAATCAAAATGACAGTCTACATAAACACCAGGTAAACACGTGTTTGACCGATACATGTGTTGTGATAACTTCAATAAAAATGATATTAGTTCATAATTATGTGCTGTACATATGTTTTACAGAAGCGCGGAGTCTCTAACCCTTTCTCTCCTAACTTCATAAAATCTCCGTATCAGCAAAACGCATGTTGCTTGTCGCAGAGTGGAGTGACTTAAAACATTCCGACTTATATTGCTTTCTCGTTTCTAAAGAAATGGGTGTGTCATTCTATAACAATTGACATTCCATAAGAAAGACCAAAACGTTTCATTCAAACGAAAAGTTTTACCCTTTCAATGCGCTTCATTGTAATATTCTTAAAATGAAATGAGTTCGAGAAACATTTAAGATGTAAGGTATTTTAAAACTTTTATCGGGATGTACATGTAAATATGGGTTGACCATTTGACCTTAGGCGAGATTTTTAGGCTTTCTTGGGAAACAATACTTTACTGTGTCGAAGAGGAATACAATATTGTGCGACACAATTTTCGCTGTATTAGGATTTCTTTTTATGATCATGTGTGCAGATAATCCTTGACAGGAGAACTATGTTTTATGGTTAATTATTGATTGAAAAATATTGATGGATATATGCATACAATCAAGACCTAGCCAAAACTGCAGAAATGATGATATGTGCAGTTTATCTGTTCAAACAACTCTATAAAAATTCTCTGAAAAGAAATGCACATGGTATACTTTTCATAAACACAAACATAATGAAAAGATATAGTACGCAATATCATCAATTGTTATGCTTCCTGTAATTTTCTCTCTTTAAAATCAATATCCAACTATTTTCTCATAGTATATAAAGGATGCAGATAGCGTAAGCTTTCTCTGCCGAAAGAGTGCACGGCCGTCTTTTCTGGAGAAAACTTATTTGAACCCACGATGGGGATCAATCTCAAGAACGTAAGAGCGTTATTCCAACGCGTTTTCTATTACACAACAAACATTGTTATATTAATGATGACATTTTAAGTATATATATCCCAGCAGGCACGCAACGTTGTTTCAACGTTGAAAGTAGGTGGAATATAGGTTGCAACGTTGAGCAACTATAGGTCTACGTTGTTTCAACGTTGAGGTTTCAACGTTGAATCCTCAACCTTTTTACAACGTTGAAACAACGTTGAAGGTGCAACATATATTCAACCTTGAATGTTCGTCGATATTTCAACGTTGAAACAACGTTGAAGATTCAACTTAATCTCAACTTTGAATACTAAACCTTTTTTACAACGTTGAAACAACGTTAAAGATGCAACATATTTTCATCGTTGAATGTTCGTCGATATTTCAACGTTGAAACAACGTTGAAGATTCATCATATTTTCAACGTTGAATGTTTGGTGTTATTTCAATGTTGAAACAACGTTGCAGATTCAACGTTAAATATTTCCTGTTATTTTAAGGTTGAAGCGATGTTAGAAATGTATTATGAATTAATTTATTTAAATTTCATTCAAAAGAATTGTGCTTACAGAACTGTAATAAAATGTTTAATTTGAGTTAATATGAAGTATGACATCAATATTCAACTCTCCACTGTAATTGCATGTTTCAAAAAAGTTAATTTGTAAATTAATTCTGAATGCAGTGTTTTTACATAAATGAAAAAGAGAAAGTTTTTGTGCTCAAGATAAGCTTTTTATAAATAATGACATATTAATCCAATACTTCACTGTAATTCCATGTAACTATAGAATTAATAAAAATAATAATTTATTCCAAATTAATGTAATCGAATTAAAATTAGACTTCTTAGATCCGTGCCGTATACTCTGCGCAGAATGTATTCGGAGCGGATCTAAGAAGTCTGATTTTACATTAGATTGTGCTTTTGTTGCACTCATATGAAAGGGGAAAAAAAGGAAACCGTATTAGATATATTACTATAAACTTTCTTATCACAAAAAATTAAACCATTTAAATAGACACGTTACAAAAAGGTTTCACAGTTTTCACACTAACAATTAACCCCGGTCAGTTTACATTACTTAGATCCACTCCCCAAATTTATCTTCAAGGCATCAGATAAGGAGTGGTTCAAGCTTAGCTGGTCAGTTTCAGTGTCATGATAACCTTGTTATGTAATTTTCTTGCTGGGCAGTGATACAGAGAAGTTGTTTGCAGCTTATCTAGGTCAAAATTTGAATTCAACTGATGGACAAGAAGTGCGCGTCTTCTTGCTGTTCACATATTATGTATTTTACACGCCATGCACAAGGATTAAAGCTGGATAATCGACTTCTGCTCAGTAAGTATAATTTCCTTTTCATGGATTTAGAAGAAATTTTAGATTTTCAAGTACCCATACATCATTTTATTCTTGTTTTGTAAGCATATTTGTAATCTGCATGCAAAACTTTAATACTTCGCAATTACCAATGCCTTTTTCCTTACAATTTATTTTGAATGGAGACAATAACCTTACTTACAACCAAAATATTGCAGTATTTAAACTTGTTCATGAATTTATTACATCTACAAAGAGATTTGCATGATATTGTTTCTCTTCTTTTTTTTAATTGACAAACCACAGAACCAGCATCTATTAATGTGTTCTTGTTAACTTTCACATTTATACCTCTATTATTTTTGTCAGTTATGTTAAACTGCAAACATATTGTATCATCAGCTCACTTATAATTAATTTTCTACCATTTATTTTGTCTTATTTTTATAAATTTCTTTTGAATATACACATGTAACACCTATTATGTAGATAATAGCATTTATGGCGATACTTTTCCCTGTAATAATAGTTGCCCCTTTTTTGAACCCCTGTTGATTAAACCCTGTGTTGAACCCCTAGTAATATGAGCCAAGTAGATGGTGCTTTAGCCAATGAGAATTTGATAAAGAGTCACGTGGTTATGTTATTATTGCCAAACATTGATTCGAGGAACATGCTTTTAGACCTTTGGAATTTTAATTGTTCAGTTTAGCATTTGTATCTATTACTGGACTCTGAAAACTGTAAGTTTCTTTTGCGGACATTATCGATTGTATATGTTATTACGGACTCCTCATTGGTTTATCATTGGAAGTATTGATTGTTTATGTGCGGGATTCAAGGGATAGTCGGTCATGGCGGCGGATCAAACATGTTCAGTAGCAGTAGTTGGCCATTCTTACGTACGACGTTTGAAAGTTTATGCAGTTCAACAGAACATTCATAATTTGCGATTAGACACTGATCAGTTCTTTGTGACAATTCGAGGAAAAGGGGGTCTCTGTTTAAGACATCTTCGCCGCGATGCAAACATTGTGCATTTCGAAAATGCCCCGGATATATGTTTTTTACAGATTGGTGAAAATGACATAGTTGCCGAAAGCAATGCTTCAAAAATTGCACAAGACATTCTTTCGCTTGCAAGCTATTTACACGAAGGAGTTGGTGTCCAAAAAGTCATTATAGGCCAATTATTGCGTCGCCTCCCCTATGCAGCATGTATCGATTTCAATGACACCGTGTTTGAAGTTAATCGGGCTCTACGGGAGATGACAACGGGGTTGAAAGGAATTGTCTTCTGGCCTCACCGGGGGTTCTGGAATAGCCTTTCATATCTGGGACCAGATGGAGTACATCTGCAGTGCACACCATCCAATGATCAGCCAATGAGGAAGTTTCTGCGCAGTATACGCAATGCCATTATCATCACTTCAAAGAAAATTAGGCCAGTATAGTTATTCAGTTACTGAATTTAAGTCCCATGTATGGATATTTGGTTATACAATTCTATATCATTGAAATGATAGACTGTAGATAGTTGTTCTAAATGCAATTTTTATTCCAAGCAAAAAAAAAAAAAAAAAAAAAAAATAGACTAAAAGCTGTAATGTTTGGCAGTCTTTCTTATTCATAACCATTCTGTGATGATATTTAGTATACTGTGCATCATTTAGTGTAACATCGTATACTGTGCATCATTTAGTGTAACATAGTGTTCCTCGGAGGCATCTAGTGTCATGTTTCATAATTTTCATACACAGTCCTACAAAAATCTTTTGGTTACATGCACTCTAGATGTTGTAGACATAGACAGCATATGTTTCAATTGCTTTAATATACATAAGTGTTTCAGTTCTTAAAGAATAGAAATATTCTGTTTAACATTTGAGTCGTTTGATAACATCTCAGTACAAATGGACAATGTTTTAGCAGTTTTTTTTTGGCGGGAAACATTCAGTATAATGTTTCAGCTTTTTATTTGGGAATCTTGCATACAGTATAATGTTTCAGCAGTTTTCTATGAAATTCAGTATAAGGTTTCAACAGTTTTTCTTTGGGAAACATTCAGTATAATGTTTCAACAGTTTTTATATGGAAACATTCAGTATAATGTTTCAACAGTTTTTATATGGAAACATTCAGTATAATGTTTCAGCTGGGTTTTTTTTTTTTTTTTTTTTTTTTTTTTTTTTTTTTTTCTTCGAAACATTCAGTATAATGTTTCAGGAACATTCAGTATAATGTTTCAACAGTTTTTCTTTAGAAACATTCAGTATAATGTTTCAACAGTTTTTATATGGAAACATTCAGTATAATGTTTCAGCTGTTTTTTTTTCTTTAGAAACATTCAGTATAATGTTTCAGGAACATTCAGTATAATGTTTCAACAGTTTTTCTTTAGAAACATTCAGTATAATGTTTCAACAGTTTTTCTTTGGAAACATTCAGTATAATGTTTCAACAATTTTTTCTTTAGAAACATTCAGTATAATGTTTCAAGAACATTCAGTATAATGTTCCAACAATTCTGCATTAAGAAAACATTCAGTATAATGTTTCAATAATGTTGTCTATTTTATGTTTAGTATACTAGTCTAGCACAATGTTGCAGATTAGGTAGGTAATGGGGAAATCCAATTTAAATTCTTATTGTGGTACAATTCAAGTTTTTCAGTCGGGCTGTAATGATTTATATATGGCTATATGTATACGGTATTTCAGTTATATATAGGTTAGATATAATTTCTCATTACAGTGAACATGGTGAAAGTTTCACTCTTTAAGGCTCATATTGGGGCACAGAATTTATATTATCTGTGTCATTATAAACAGACTTATAAAATGAGTCTGTTGCAGTTTCTGATATATAATTTTTGATGGATGGCAGAGGTTCATAGCAATTTTATTCAAAAAGTCAACATTTTATTTAAGAAACTGCACAAGCTGAATGACTTCTCAGTATATTTATATATCTATAGAAATAAAATATAACAAGTGTTCTTCTGTTTTAGTAAAGATGCCGAGAGGCAACCCAGCTGTAAAACGTAAAGCAACAATGGCTGCCACAACAAGACCGAAAAAGAAAACATCAGTAAGAAGTACTGCATTGGAGGCTCAGGGAAGGGATGCAGACCCACCGATGACCGTAAGTGCTTTGTCCTCGGCAATCAATTATGAGGAACTTGCAAAATATATAGTGAGGGAACAAGACAAAGTGAGAGCATCCCAGTCTACAGACAGGACTGTCACCCAAGCCACAACGAACATCACCACACCGAATAATGGCAGTGATCAAGCTACCACTCAAAATACAGAGGGATCTCAAACTTCAACCAATGCAGTCAAGGAAATTGATTCCTCAAGTGTGGCTCAGTCCAACGTAGCATCTGCTTCCAATGATCAACCGTCCACCTCTACCAAGTCAACAGCTGACAATTCGGACAATGTCAATACAATTTTAGATGCTATTTTTATGCGAGGTGAGTCAGCACAAACTAGTACCCCCATCACAATACAGGACAGCATACCATTAGGGGCCACCATATCATCAAAAATGAAAAGTAAAATTTGGTCTAATGAATTCATTGACTTTAAAACATTGCTCCCTAACCAATCTGAAGATCCCCTTTCTATAACAATTAAAGCTGGCAAAATTGATGTGGAACACACCCAAAAACAAAAATCTCCCCTCACTATTAACCAATGGACAGATGCATTTTTAACCTTCGCATGCATTTACTTACAAAAAACCCCCAATGATGCATGCCACCTTCTTAAATATTGCCATACTATCAGAGAAATGAGCAGAATGCATGTGGATGAGGCTTGGAGAAGCTATGATGAAACCTTTCGCAGGTTGAGAGAGTCCTCTAATCTTCCCTGGGAACAACCCATTAATGAGCTTAGGCTCAAAGCAGCAGCTATGGGGTCAAAATTCCAATATAAACAAAATAATCAGTTCCATGGGAAAAAGAATCTTTTTCGTACCCAACGTGTATGTTTCGCATACAACAGGGGAGAACAATGTAATGCATCCACATGTAGATATGCCCATGTTTGTCAAGAATGTTCATACAAACATCCACGAACAAAATGCTATGTTAAAGACAGGACAAAACCTAGTCAATCCCGCACCCCTCCCAACCCCAGTAAGACCACTACCCCTTCAAAATGAATTACAGGGTTACGACATTGCGAAATCTCAGTACCTAGTAGAAGGATTTACTTCTGGGTTTAGATTAGGGTGTGTTGGTTCCCCCTCTAGCTCATCCCTGCAAAATCATAAATCTACACAAGATCATCCTAGGATCATTGACGAACATATTTTAAAAGGTCTACAATCTCAAAGAATAGCAGGGCCATTTGATGGCCCACCATTTCCAGATTTTATTTCATCACCACTTGGCATTGTCCCAAAATCAGATCCAGGAAAATTCAGAATTATTCATGATTTATCCTTTCCTGAGGGCTACTCTGTGAACTCATTTATTCCTAGGGAAAATTCAGAAGTTCAGTATGATACAGTAGATAAAATTATTTCACTTGTACAATTTTTTGGTGAGGGTGCCTTGATGGCAAAGTCTGACATTAAGGATGCTTTCCGCATTGTTCCTATACACCCCCTAGATTACCATTTACTTGGTTTCACTTGGAATAAGAAATTTTATTATGATCGTTGTCTCCCGATGGGAGCTAGTAGTTCTTGCAAAATTTTTGAGGAACTAAGTCAGGCCTTGGTATGGATAATGTACAATAAATATTATGCATCTGGGATATCTCATATTCTTGACGATTTCTTCTTTATTGCATCTAGTGCATCAAAGTGTAGTGAAGATTTAGCCCGTTTCCTCTTCTTGTGCAAAAAAATCAACATACCTATTAACATGGAAAAGACCACCACACCTACAACTCGGTTGACTATATATGGTATTGAGGTCGATTCCATGGCCATGGAATGCAGATTACCACATGAGAAAGTTGTTAAAATTAATGATAAACTTAGTGGGTTTTGTAAAAAGAAAAAAGTACAATTACGAGAATTACAATCTTTAATAGGTTTGTTAAATTTTGCTTGCTCTGTTGTTGTACCAGGAAGGGCTTTCTTGCGTCGACTTATTGACCTTACCTGTGGCATCTCAAAACCTTACTACTGGGTACGTCTCACGAAAGAAACAAGGGCTGATTTAAGTATGTGGTTGCAGTTCATTTCTCGTTTTAATGGAAAATCAGTTTTTCTTGCTGAAGATTGGGATTCCTCGGAATTTATCAGTTTGTACACAGATGCATCAGGGTCTATTGGTTTTGCTGCTGTACTTGGTAAACAGTGGTTTGCTCAACAATGGTCAGATGAATTGTATCATTTTCAAATTGCTATCAAAGAACTATTCCCCATTGTACTAGCTTTAGAAATATGGGGCAGTCAACTGCAGAACAAAAGAATACTCTTTCTAACAGACAACATGGCTATTGTTCAAGTTATAAATAAGCAGTCAAGTAAAGATAAAACCATTATGAGACTTGTAAGAAGACTTGTTCTTGCTTGTCTTTATAATAACATACATTTCAAAGCAAAACATATCAAGGGCAAGTTGAATGTCATTGCAGACAAGTTATCCCGGTTCCAATTTCAGGCGGCCCGGCAGTTGGCACCACATCTGGTGGAAGATCAGACACCCATACCAGACTGCCTCCTGCACATTTGACCAGTGAGGCACAATCTCTACTCTCTGCATCATTATCACCTTCAACACAATCAGCATATAGAAGATCATGGCAGCTTCTTCAATCATTTCAAGCCAATACAACATTACCGTTACAGGTGACAGATGTTTGCAACTTCATTGCTCATCTCCATGGCTCTCATTTTAGTGCAAGTACTATCTCTTCTCATATATCTGCGCTAAGCTATGTTCACAAGCTACTTGGTTTACCTGATCCTACACAAATGTTTATTGTCAAAAAAATATTAAGGGGTTGTCACAAATTGTCTCACACTGCAGATTCACGCCTTCCAATTACTATAGGTATTCTAGGCCAAATTATTAATGCTCTGCCAAATACTGTCCCTGTTTTTGACCATCATATCATGTTAAAAGCCCTTTTCTTACTCTGTTTCCATGCTTTCCTTAGGATGGGAGAAGTCACTGTAAAGCAGGGTATTGCCCATAACAAGGTCATTCAGGTGCAAGATGTAACTTTTCAATACAAAGGTCAAAATCCCTGCAGTGTTCAATTAGTTTTACGTCATTTTAAAACTCAAAAAATGAATGAGCCCATCATAATTTGCTTAGAGAGTTCTCCCAATTCTGAAATATGCCCCGTCAATGCATTATGTGTATATCAGTCTCAATTTTCACATATCTCAGGCCCACTCTTTCAGTTTAAAGATGGCACACCACTCTCATATAATTATGTTTCCAAGCAACTTGCAGCCTCAGTAAAATTTACTGGTCTGAATCCAGCATTATATAAAGGTCATAGTTTCCGAATTGGAGCCGCAACTTATGCTGCTCAAAAAGGGTACTCTGAGAATTATATACAGCAACTGGGTCGTTGGAACTCTAATGCCTTGAAGCGTTATATTCGAATCCCTGCCTTCTCTGTTTAATATCCTTGTCTGTAGATACAACCCAATCTAATACTTGATGATAGGTCAGTGTTTAACTGCTATCTAACTAATAGGTCTGATACATGTATGTAATAATGGAATGCACAACTTACTTATACAGGTCAGTGTATAACTGCTGTACAAAAGGTGTCACATAGCACTATGCATGATTAGCCTACCCCTGTTTATTTAATTGTTTGTTTCTACATGCAGGTCAGTGTTTAACTGCTGCTTTCATCATTAGGATTGTCATTATTTTTATGTATACCATAAGGAGAATGCTACAGGTCAGTGTTTAACTGCTGTAGCCATTATTATCTGTGGTATATTCAATGTTAATGTAAAGTAAATGCTACAGGTCAGTGTTTAACTGCTGTAGCCATTATTATCTGTGGTATATTCAATGTTAATGTAAAGTAAATGCTACAGGTCAGTGTTTAACTGCTGTAGCCATTATTATCTGTGGGATATTCAATGTTAATGTAAAGTAAATGCTACAGGTCAGTGTTTAACTGCTGTAGCCATTATTATCTGTGGTATATTCAATGTTAATGTAAAGTAAATGCTACGGGTCAGTGTGTAACTGCTGTAGCCACATTATCAGTGTAATATGGATCATGGTCAATTTAAACTTTGGTTCCTTCAGGTCAGTGTTTAACTGTTTAAGAAACCTCAGTAAAATTAAAAAGGTCTCCCATTAATGTGCTGGCTCACCAATACATTTTGTAGTTTTTCATGAAAAGTAGACTTTAATTAAAATTGTCAAGTTGCTATAGCTATTTTGTATGTTTTCATTAGGTTATATATAAAATAGCAGCTCACCTTGGATGGCGTGGGATATGATCTGATGATCATATCTTTGGCCATATTTGTCGCCATCTTTTGCTTTTTGTAAGCCGTATACCAATTTTTATAAAGTTTATGTTGTATCTAGTCAGAACTAAAGTTTTCTTTGTGACCTATTTTCTATGGGGGAAATCAGAACATATGTGTGCATATCTTGTAAAATGTATATATCTATATGTTCAAAATGTTTGGTATTTGCTGATTTCCCCCCTTGTTTGTAAAACTTATTTTTTCGTCATTTACTGTATTGAATAAATGACAATTTTCATTCTCACATATAATTGTCCTGTCGTATTTGAAATAAAATTCGGAGCAAAACAAAGCTGCGGTGAGCTGCTTGTATTAGGAAATAGTGAGAGACATAAAACACCTATTATGTAGATAATAGCATTTATGGCGATACTTTTCCCTGTAATAATAGTTGCCCCTTTTTTGAACCCCTGTTGATTAAACCCTGTGTTGAACCCCTAGTAATATGAGCCAAGTAGATGGTGCTTTAGCCAATGAGAATTTGATAAAGAGTCACGTGGTTATGTTATTATTGCCAAACATTGATTCGAGGAACATGCTTTTAGACCTTTGGAATTTTAATTGCCCACCACCTCCCCATTCTCATTTCCACCTATTTGTTTTTCATTTGTACTCAGGGTTGAAGTTTTTGATGTGATTCTTATTTTTGTATTATATACAGTGTTACATCCCTTGCATATTGAAGTCTGTGTTCATGATGTATATTTTTTACGAGTTTTTGTTAATATCACAATTTTTGAACATCCTTTGTCTTTGGTAATGCCATATACATATTGGCCATATTTGTCGCCATCTTTTGCTTTTTGTAAGCCGTATACCAATTTTTATAAAGTTTATGTTGTATCTAGTCAGAACTAAAGTTTTCTTTGTGACCTATTTTCTATGGGGGAAATCAGAACATATGTGTGCATATCTTGTAAAATGTATATATCTATATGTTCAAAATGTTTGGTATTTGCTGATTTCCCCCCTTGTTTGTAAAACTTATTTTTTCGTCATTTACTGTATTGAATAAATGACAATTTTCAATAAAATATTGTTTAAATTAATCTGCGTGAAATGCACATCCTTAATCCGTGTATTTATGTGTTAGTTTGATATTCATTTACAAATGAAATTAAAATAAGGTATACAATTTAATTGCAGTTGGCCGTAAGGTTCCATCAACCACTGGCGGATTTGAGACGTAATTGATGCCCTGATTGGATGAGATCCATCGCCCGTGAAAATTACAAAGGAATGCAACATTGTGTATGTACACCTCCATGTTTTTAACATTTTTCTTGAGTAATAATTATTTATAATCATACTGTTACAGTTGTGAATTTTAACACGAGGACAAATATAATTCTTTTTATTAATTCAAAGTATAAGAACATGTACTTTTGTCTGTTTTTTATTATTATTATTATTATTCATGTATATTTTTATCATTTGAAATAACAAGTTATCAAATTAATGACTTTCATATCATTATTTCTTTTGGTAATAGGTTTTGCATTAGAAGATGAAGCTTCCTGTTCATTTCTTTCCGACTGACGAGTCATTTTGTGGGACTTACATGTAACTATGCGCGTGATATAAAATCAATGGATCCGCCACTTTGTGGAACTTAGTTTTAGACAGATGCGTGATATGATGAACCTGTATATGATTACTGTGACCTCTTTTCACTAGGAAGATAAATTTGGTTAAACAGTGATTTTTGAGATTCGGTGATTGGATCCTGGATTTATCTTTGTTTTTAAAATACAGTTTAAAATAAATTTACTCAGAATCTTAATACTGGATTCAACTTACATATTTCGCAACTTGAATAAAAACTTTTATTAGAATGTGAAATGTATTTGTTTATAAAGCAAAACTCAGTATGACTTCAACGTGATTTCAACCAAATATCAACATTTGTACAACCAAAAAATTTTAACCAAAAGTCAACCTAATTTCAACCAATGTTCAACCTTTTTTTCAATGTTGATATTTGACGTTCAAACAACGTTGAAGTTTCAACGTTGCCTCAACTTACATTTGCAACCAAAATTCAACTATAAATCAACCAAAGTTCAACCCATTTTCAACGTCTATTCAACGTTGAAAATTGACGTTGAAACAACGTTGATGTCTCAACGTTGCCTCAACTTTCATATGCAACCAAATTTCAACGTTGATTCAACGTTGAAGTGCAACGTTGATTCAACGTTGAATCAATGTTGAAATGCCTGCTGGTTATAAACGTAGTTTTCATACATTAGGCACAAAACAAGAATAAATGAATATCATTTAAAAACTGACAAGGAGTTTTTGAAGAAAGTACTTTGACAAATAACCCAATTTATCTATAACATAAATAACCAAAATCGAAATGTTACTTCGGAGTCATTAAAATGCTTGTTGATATAATGCTTGATTAAAGAATATCCAAGAAAAAAAATAGATTTAACGCCTGCATACAGGTTTGGATTGAGGATTTAATTAAATTTTCGTATACAAACAATATTCAGAATAAAATTCTTATAGAGTAAGTATTTGGAAGTTCTATGCCAAAACTGTATTCAGGGTTTGACCCATAATGCACTCGCCTCCTTCTCATGCACAAATGTGTCAAACCATGACTACTATTTCGGCATTGTACATCCAAATCCTAAAATCATTTTATAAAAATAGAAATTATTTACTTTTTCAAACTCAGCATTAAATTATTTATTTTGAAATGTCAAAAACAGAATGTATGATTTATAATTGCATTTTTGTTACAATACATTTCATTTTAGCTTCAAATGATTGTAATTTAAATTACACCACTAGATGTTTCATATTTCAATATTTCATTAAGCATTGTAAATTAAACACATTTTTTGCGCAATAATTGTAGATCTGTTTTTAAGGGGAAATATGAAAATAGCAAACAGTAATCAATCTCAAAAGTCTATCGAAACAAAAAGGAAAAAATGAAACACGGACCTCTGAAACATCAGAGGTAGTATCAGTTGCCATGGAGGAGTAAGCATTTCCTGTCCACCAGTCACACCTGCCATGTTCTCTTTGTCATGATCGGGAAACGGAATAATTGAAAAAAAAAAAGAATGAAAATGGAACCCTTCACATATAACTGTAAAATGTATACTGAAAGAATACATATACGAAATTTCAATGGATAAAGAAATGATCTTAAGGTAAGTCAATCTTCAGCTTTTGAGAAAAGTTTAGCCAGAACATCTAACTTCAAAATCATTTATTTGAATTCGTTACGCATATTTGACTTCAACAATGCAAATTAAACGATATTCAATTTAAATACTGCTCAAAAAATTGTAAAGGAACATAGTTTATGGTGGGGGGTCTATCTTGTGGAGGAAGGATATTTAGAAGAAATTTCCTCAAATCTACACATTTGTTTGATTTCTTATCTTAGAACTTTAGCCATATATAAGTCGGAGATTTTTTTCAGTATTATATGCTAGGAATATAAAATATTGGTTTCAATTGGTATCTTAAAAACACATTTTTCTCGTTCACTCAACAGAATTTGCCAAAAATGGAGATATGTCTAAGATTACCATATATTTATTTCAAAATATACATCACTGACCACAACCATTTATTTCGTTATTTTAAATTAAAGAATACATTCAACCAATAAGCGCTAGAGTCATAAAAAGCTTGATACAACACAGATAATTTTGAAAGATCCCTTAATTGCTTTAAAAGAAGATATGACCTCTGTATAATTTTTTTTTTTGGTCTGGTCCCTTTTATATGAAACGCAAATAAACACATTTATGAATGAACTTTGTCAAAGAATAATTCAACAATAACAATTATTGATTGATTGATTGTATGTTGTTTTACGTCCCATTCGAGAATTTTTCACTCATTTAGAGACGTCACCATATACCGGTGAAGGGCTTCAAATTTTGACCTTTACTCGGCACTCAGGGCCATTGAGCAGTGAGGGATCTTTATCGTGCCAACGCCTGCCGTGACACGGGGCCTCGGTTTTTAAGGTCTCATCCGAAAGACCCGCAACTTTCACTCCAAAGTGCCGAGCGCATGGCGAAGGAACAGTTGCTACCTATTTTTTATCGTCTTAGGTCTGTCGCGGCCGAGATTCGAACTCACGACCTCCCGATCACGGAGCGAGCGCTCTACCGACTGAGCTACCGTGAACGGTAACAATAACAATTAGGATAATGTTTACGATGTTAAACATAACAAATTTTTGAAACTTTTTTACAGTAACACACACACACATACACACACACACACACACACACACACAGAGAGAGAGAGAGAGAGAGAGAGAGAGAGAGAGATGCATATATTTTTGCTCCTTGTCAACTTCATTTTTGTATTTGAACTATTTTAAAATTTGAAAATGATATTCTTCCCATGTGTTAACATTTTATGTATTTATCCGATAAACATTATCGGAGTCCTTCATAATCTGAAGGCAGCGACAATTCACCAAGCTCTTGATATTTGTTATCACTATTGGATTCTGTAGAAATGTTGTATAGGTCCAAACCTCCTGCTTTGATCGAATTGTTTTCTTTGTACTTCTGTTTCGCATGTCTCTCTTTGATCCTCCTTCTATTTGGATGTTATACAAATAAATAGAGTGCATCATTCTTTCAAGTACCTAGTTCATATTTTTTTAAATAATGTGTGTGGAACTATATATATATATATATATATATATATATATATATATATATATATATATATATATATATATAAAATCTCCAAATTACATACAGGCGATATTTGAGGTACATAATTTGAAATAAAGTGTAAAATAAATTGTGTAATGTAACACTAACCTATTAATACACATGTAGGCAACCAAAATTGAAATGACAGTAAAAGAGACGCACAAAGCTGCAAGGACGACATAAAATTGTGTCTGGAAATCATCTATTTTCGCCACTGCAACTTTCCGAAAATACGCATAAACAATTTACCACTTTGCTTATATGGTGCTTTTATATTCAGTTTGGATTGTCATTACTCAAAGACATGGGCCCTGATTTATAAGCTTTGAAGATATTGACCTTCCAAGCACTTCAGACCCTGCCATCCACCAATACATCCTTCGTTACAATACCCAGTCACGTGGTTGCAGTCACGTGACGACTTGCAGAAGAGACTGCATTCTTTTTTGCACTCATCTCCATAAAATCCTGAAATACAAACTATAATAAAAGAGGAAGAAAAATATGGGAAAATCAACTTCATATAAAACAATATTTCCAAATTTAATGACTTCTTTTTATCAGATACGTAACATACACGTATAAACATTTAATTAAGCTAATTAGTAAATTTGTAAGAGAAACGGTCTATTTCTTTAAACCCTGGTTTTAAAAATAATGATTTTTTAGTTTTTTTTTTCTTCAATCAAAGATACCTTCATTACATTGCATTCCTTGATATCCTTGTGTGCACCCTCCAGAACACGATCCATTTACGTGATGACAGACGGGGTTACGACAAAATCCACATGTAGAATTACAGTTTTTACCGTACACATTTCCAGTACAGACTATAGAATGGAATCAGAAAGGAAAAGAAAAATAATTGTATTCCTCCATTTTGCATGCCTCCCGAAAAGAGAGGCAAGAAGCACGTAAGTGTTTCTTTTTCCTTCTGTTTGTCTGTCTGACTAATTGCCCGTCTGTCTTTGTACTTCCATCTGTATTTCTTGCATTTCTTTGAGAACTGTAAGACTCATGAATTTGTTATTTTACTCATGTGATATCTTTCACACTGACTTTTGACCTGTCTCTCAGAATACTCCAAGTGCCGACTTAAACCATTTTATTTGATTTTTAAGAAGTGGTTGTTTTTAAGCTAATGCCCTGCTTGTACTGATAGAGGTATTTCAGTTTTTTTGACTTTAAATATATTCTACTTCTCAAGAATACTTCTAAAATTTGGAGAGGCAAATCTTTGAAAGGTAGTTTTGTGGTACATGTTTCTGATAATACAAAGCTGTACATTCAAAGTGTATGATATATATTTACTTCACAAAATTTAAATATATTTGCTAGTTGTACGAATAAAATAATTAACAGCTGGCAAACCTATTCGGGTTAGTAAGTTTAGTAAAAGTGTGTGTTGCAGTAAAGACCAAGATAAACAGAGATTTCTGCTAAGTTTCTTATCATAGGAATTTTTAAATCAAACTTGTAAAAATAAAAGTATTTCAAAAATGCATTCTATTGTGATACTTTTGATTTAGCTATTGATTATAATTTTTATTACATTTTCACATTAAAGTAAAAAACAGTATTCTATAGTGACCTTACTTTTTTCGGATGACAATTGAATGAACAAATGTATAATAGCTTTCACATAAAAAGCAATGATATTAAACCAGGTCAATCACCCGTTCTTAAACTAATCTAACTGATATTCGGGTTTTGTTATTATACTTCTTAAACATCATTGTTTATTAGATTCAAACTAAATAAAATATAGTTTGATACTTTTCTTAAACATTCATATCATTAGGAAATTAAAACACACGCACATAAAATTTAAAAAAAAAATTGGAATCTGAATAAATTATTTTGGCTATAGCATATCAAAGAACAAAACATATCTTTAACATTTTTAAATAAAACCTATTTGCTCTAAAGGTTGAGACAACGTACCCTGTTTGCACTGAAGTCCTTCCCATCCAGGCTGACATCCGCCCTCACATTCTCCCGTCGTTCCATTGCATTTATTGGGTACAGCACATTTCTTATTACAGACTTCCTCACAGTTAATACCAAATTTTCCACTCGAACAACCTAGCATATGATTGTTTTCTCTTCGTTTTAATTCAATATGAAGTTTACTCTGTTTAAAATCTTTTTTTTTTTAATATTTCCGTGTATATCAATTTATATTTAAAGTATACGTTCTCAAAATTAAATTATTTGCATATAATACGACCAGGAATATTACCAGTTGTACAGAGTTCTCCTTCATACCCAGCGTCACACCCTTCCAAACATGACCCATTGATGTGATGACATTGCTTATATCCTAGACAGGCTCCACAGTTCTCAAGACAGTTATATCTATATGATCCGTTATCACATTCTATTTATGTAAAAAAAAAATATATTTATAAGAAAACCTGAAAATGCAATTCCATTTTACAAGAATTGTATGATCATGTACACAAAAAAGTAGAAGTTTATACATGTATGTAGCAAAGTTTTATACGGACTCAAACTGGGTTTCCTGAACTAGGTGTACATTTAAAAAATAAAATAGTCGTAATTTTTCAGTGGAGAATAAAACATATACAAGGATTATTTAAAACCGAAGGCACAGCGTATGTAACAATTCTGCATGTAGGTCATTTTATCAATTTCAAGGTCATAGCATGCAGGGATTGAATTTTTGAAATTTTTGGCTTTAGTCTGATTTTATACTGAAATTACTACCAAAGGACATACTGCCCTAATGGTTGATACCGTACACATGAAATTATCCTGATCATAAGTCATAAGAATTGAAGGTCATAGGAAAACAAACGTTAAAATACTATTATTTACGTTTGTTTTCAGGTATACCAAGAAACCATTCTTTAAAATAGTAGCATTTAGAGTTAAAGAAAGTCTCAAATGATTAGAATATCATGAAAAACGACAATAAAACACATTTTTTTTTTAAATGTAGAACATATTGTCACAGACATCGTTATTTAAATTAGTCAGAGAATACAGAAAACAACTTTAGTTTATATTAAGATCAGTTTATTTTGTATAATCATACCTATTTTACTTTGGCATTAAATGAATAAGTAAAGAAATATATTAAATTCATCGTGAATAGTCAAGTAAAATTAATTTACAAGAAGCACAGATTTTGTTTCCGAGGAATCATGATAGATTGGATCAAGCTTTGAGGTAACCATAGAAAAAATAGCCTGATATAAACTATTGGGTTATAAAAATATAATGATCTTTGCAAGAAATTCATTTGAAACATGTTTTTATATGATTATCGTGCAAGTTCCTTTTCGCATATTCTTGGGATTTCAGGTGAAAACTACGCATTTTTCTTTGTCTCATTCTCATGCAAAGCTATATGAATTTCATGCCTGTATAGGAGACGACTAATTAAGAGAAAGTTCAAGTTAGTGGTAAAAATGTAAGTTACCTTCTGAACAATATAATCCTGTCCAACCTATTGTGCAAGGAGATGTACATATCCCTGTGAATGTGTCACATGTAGCACAGTTGCTACACATTGCAAGACCTAATAATGTTAGTGAAGAAATAAAAGAGTCTTTAAGAAACACTTACTATAATAATATTAAGGCGAAACAAAAGTATCTGAGATTATAAAAAAAGAACATATAGCATTTCCTCATCGAGATTCTTTTGTACTGTTTTAACATGAGGTCATAATGTTTTTAAAAACCTCTGCATATGCTTATTAATATCCTTAACGTAGCTGCGTCTTTCGCTCTTAACAAGACAGATAAATAAGTTCAACACTACGTCGCAAACTTTGAAACATATTTTTACCCTATCGAAGGCCTCTCTAGTACTTTAAAATTGCAGCTAGAATCCTGTGGTTAATGTGAATTGATGAAAATACTTTGATCGTATATATGAAATATTTTTAAAAAATGGTAAGCCTTCATGCCAAACTGTGAAATAACTATTTTTGTGATAGCAGAGAAGGATTATAGCAGCACTTTCCATGTTCCTGTGAATTTTTTGACTTAATTATTTTTACAAGAAGAAATGAATTATTCCCTGTGAGGTGTTGAAATTTTCACTTTCCATTGCATATTTTCTTTTCTATTTATAGACGCCACATTTTGACTGCGAGAAGTATAGGCAAAAGAAGTGTCCATAGAAGTTATCCTTCAGATAATTGGAAGACTTCGTTTCAAAAGACCACATTGGAGAAACTTCAGCATATTTATTTATATCAATTTCAGTTTGCTTGTATTTAGAATCAGAATGATTTTTATCAAATTAGTTTTGTAGATGACCAATCACAAGATATTAGAAAACACATGTTCCATTTTATACAGGGGGCAATTCTTTGTAATATCAAAAGCAAGGTATCAAAAAAAGTTGCTGTTTGATTTATCGTAAGGGAAAATATTTAAATTGATCTAATCATTAACTTTACAATTAATCAATGTTTTGAACTTCTGTTTCATATTTTGGAAGAATATTCATAAATACATTATATGTTTGGTACATGAAGGCAGTAAAAAAAATGTATGATATAACGAAATTCATAACTTATGCCATTGAGAGCTGTAATTAAACCAGATGGTTGTTTGAATGGACAGAGTATACATTTTTTTTTCTAAATTTTATATGAAGGAATGCGATAAGATTAAAATTAAGATTTAGTTTTATAGGAAGTAGACATTCTTCTGCCATGCTTATCTTATAGCATGCAACTGTTATTGGCACTCAGTAATCCGTAAAAGCAAATCATATTTTGAAGTAAATCGAGCTATTGGTTGATTTCAGAACGGAATATCCAACTGATATCAGTCTATCTTATCAATAAATCTGAATAAATTGAGATGTTCTTGTTTACCTACCGACTGCGAATTCACATTGAAGTCCGTGATAACCAAGTTTACTCAACTGACAAGCACCAGTTTCTATGTGACAGTATTGACAGTTAATAGGACAGGAATTGGAACAATTTGATCCGTAGTATCCAATGCGCGCGCAGCCTTAAAAAAGTAAATGTAGTCCAATTAATAAAAATATATTATTGACATCTGATTTTTTTATGTCTTTTTTTTTCCTTTCGTGACTCTTGTAGAAGGTGGTTTAAAATAACCCCCCCCCCTTTGCAATTACATTTACCTGTATTTTTTTTAAATAGTATAAACATTGAAGTATTACAAGGGTTGATACAAAAATAATGTCACAACTGCATTAAAAGTCATAAATAAAATGTTATCAAATTGTTCACATACTGAAAACACTATATATTTAGATTTTACCTCAGAATCTCATTTTATTGTTTAAACAATTTTTTTTTAAACATTTAGATGAACAGAAAGTTTGGTTTTGTTTATCGCCACACAGCAAGAATGTAACGACGTCGTTCTGACGTTCCTTTTCGGCACTCTCCTTCTTTTTAACCCTTTCTCTACCGGCACATTTAAGTGACAAATTATTTCTTACTTTTTTTTATCAAGAAGAAAGCTTAGTATAATGCATACCAATTTGTAGAGAATTTCTTAAAGATAATATTTCTTGACTTTTTAGGTACCCAACGACTGACTTTATTAGTAGAAATAAAGGTCAAAAGTCAAACAAGCTCAAATTTTTTATCGAATTTTTTTAACACTTTTTATTCTTCAAGTTAAAAATTTACAACGATCTATATTTTAATATGATATTTGGAATATACTGACAGAGAGCATTATACTAATATACATTTATCACATGAACTTTTTTTTTCAATTCCTCATATAAAGACATTAAAGAGGTTGCTAAGTAACGGGGTATTTTTCAATATTCGGGCAGTAATTTTCGTTTTTTGCTCATCTAAGACACATTTATGCATTCCAGAATATTTATCACACTGTAATAATGATTTTATGACCTCATTAAACCTTTTTTTAAGAGGGCCAATGTCAAATAAGTAATGGATGCTGAAATAGGAAATTCTGAATGTAATCTCTAGAAGGCATCATGCTCAGCTCCAATATCCATGGTTTATTTTTGTTCATTCCATGATATTGTAAGTAGGATATGGGGTCAAAACAATGTAAAGAACATACTAGGGATAATTGTATTAAGTATAAATTATGACACTTCTGTTCTTAAGGAGTTCAAGGTCAAATCAGTACATAATTCTGCCTTAAATTGTATATATATATATATATATATATATATATATATATATATATATATATATATATATATATATATATATATATATATATATATATATATATATATATATATATATATATATACATATTGCTGCAATTATTATAGATTTATCATCTAATAGTTGACGTAAAAAATGAACAACAAAGTCCACAAACAAAATACAAAAATGACTTAATTATTCTTTTTTTTTTTTTTTTTTTTTTTTTTTGCATATCTTGGTTGCCATACCAAAAATATGTCTAAAACTTAAGTGAACTAAAACAAGCAAATTCAGAAAATTTGTGTCCCCCGCTTAGGGAAAAAAGAAGAGCATGCGCAGTTCGGGAGGGGGGCCTCCCCACTTCTCGATTTGTAGAATTATTAGATATATACATGTTTATTGAAGCAGATAAAATGTCAATATGGATATAAAGATTTGATTCCTTATCCTTTAATATGTGTATAAAGGATTCTTTTTATATAGAATATTTATAACACTGTGATAATGATTTTATGAGTGTGTACACGCCAGACGTCGTAACTTTTTCACTTCACATGTTGAATACTATCATTTAGTAAATCCCCCCCCAAAAAAAAAAAAAGGATCGCCCGGGATTTGAACCCAGGAACTCTCACTTGCTAAGCAAGATTCCTACCCTTATACCACGGGGGCGCCTGATTTTACAGGAAATTAAATGCAAACATTAGGTCACAGATAAGGTTCATATTCACCATCAATATTGACAGAATTTTACACAATACATGGTGTCTAATATTAAATAGCCTTTACTAATCAGTTCTAATAGATGTAATTAGAATATAAAGTCCGCCTACAAGATGTATTATACTTAATAACTCTCCACATGCCCCTGTGCTAAAAATAGTGCAAAGCGACTTTTAAAACAATAAATAAATAAATAAATAAATAAATAAATAACGAGTCGGGACACTTTCAGAGGGGCGAGAGAGGCTATAGTGGAGTTATGTTATAAAATTTCATTGCAAAAGCTCAATAGCTTCTTGAGATATCGCCCGGAAACGAGAGTGTTACACACAGACGGAATGTATGAATATACGACCTTGAACTTTGACCTCAAAATCAAAAGGTGTTGTCATGTAAAATTTCATTGCAAATGTTCACAAGGTTGTTAAGATATCGCGCGGAAACGAAAGTGTTACAGACAGACAGAAATACAGACGGACGGACGGACGGACAGACCCACATTAACATCTCCCACTTTCAGTGAAAGCGGGGGACAATAAAATTTGTCAGATGTGATTACGTGTAGTTTAACCTTAGTTACACATAGTATCAAAATAATGCGGTCAAAAAATAATGCAAGCAGTATCAACAATTTTTCATAATGTATAAGGTGAAGTACTCATTTCAACATTTTCAAAAAATAACACAATTTCCTTTGTCAATTTTGATATAATAAATACTTTCTACAATCTTCTTAAAATTATTTATTTTTCTAATTTTCAACAGATGTCCTGTCCTTATTCTCGTCTGTTAAAACATTTTTGTCATTTTATAAGCATGAATAAACATCAAAAGGAAGACAATGCATGAAATTTGGATTCTCTTTTTCAAATAAGTGGCTATTGCATTACCATCCTTTCATTCATCTATTTAATGTCAAAAGCTCATCTTCGCTAGGCAAGGATTTCTGATCCGCTACTCTTCTCACACACCCTTATCCTATTCATGCTTTCAATAGTCAGGATTTATCACTTCACCAGCTGATCTAAAATCACAGCTTGCATCACTTATTACATATAGAAATAAAGAGGGTTTTAAGACAAGAAAATTCTGAGGAATAATTAACAATCAGATGGGTTTATTAATAAGTAAGTTTCCTAGTTATTATCTGCAATGAATATCCCAGATTACATTATATGTATATCATCTTCACGTCAGATGATGTGCCCTAGCTATTTAAAAAATGGAATTACCTGATGAATAATTTTTGCAAGGGTTTTACTAACGAAGATATAGAGTCAAGAAATATCATGAATGAATATATTGTAATTTACTATAGCACTTGCTTAATGGTCAAATAATATAACCTTGAACTCGTACTATTACTAAAATTATTATTATTATGGCTTTTAATCAAGTTGAAAGATTGCTTTTCATTCGTGTACCAAAACAAACATTAATATTTTATTTTTTTTCTGAACGTATCACAAAAGTCTTAATAAATAAGCCAGTTATGATATCATACCAGTTGCTTATGTGGACAAATATGACGCAAAATAATGAATAAACTGTTGTTTGATTAGGAAAACATTATTTTAACTAAAAGTACCGCGTGTATAACAAAAGTTTACTTTATTCCAACCGCCTGATAATAAAACTCAATGTCTGAAAGAAGGGAAATGCAATGTTGCATTAATGAAGATTAATTAAACCATACCATTGACTTCTACTTCGCACAACTCATTATATGCGTCAGTCGAAAATTGATACGAATACGTTGAATTCTGTGGTCTCTGATTGTAGTAGATGACGTATTGTCCGTGTACAGGGCATGGTATATCGATGACCGAGGGTACCGTAGATCTTGTGAAGTTTGTGTCATGATAACATAAATAGCCATCAAGTCTGTGCGGTTTTTGAAACATAAACATATAATCCCAAGAACGATGCCGTGAAGTTATTTGAAAAACCTAGTAAGAAATAATCATGTTCTCAATTTGAATAACTCTAATGATTACACGTTTTTCCTTGTGGAGTTTGTGTTTTTTATGTACATATTGACTATTTAAAATAATGTTAGTAATAACATAACCCCAAAAAAACTCTGAAGACATTTTTTTTTTTTTTGCAGTTGTAAAAAAAGGAGGGATCTCTGAAATAAAAATCCTCATACATACATTGATTCAATTGTTATAAATGATTATCGATGAGCATAAACAAATTTGTTTGATGGACTTTTCGAGATTGAATGCTATTCGTTATCTTCATATTTCATTTCATAATTTGGTTATTTTTATCTCATTATTAATTTCATGAAGATCAATTGAAATTGCATTAAAAAAATCAAAACCAGTGACAAATAAGACTTTCATTTGAAGAATACACTATATTCTGATGATGTTTCTACAATTAAAAATATGTTAAAAAGTTTTCATGATAGTAAAAGAACAAAACAAATAGATAAGGAAAACAAAAGATGGTTAAGCAAAAAAGTATATATAAAGAAAAGAATTCATTTTTTTTTCCTTTAAGGTTTAAGGAAGATGAATGTTACAATTGAACAAATAGATTTAAATATTTTTTTTTTTACATCTTACTACCTCATTGAGCATTGTCCGTCCTGTAATATATCATAATGTCACGAATGCTGCGGATGGATGTCAAATTAACCCACCAGGTGGCGTTTTTGTATCCATCAGCTGACACAGTACACTGTCCTCCAAAGGCTGAACGGTTAGACTTCCGACCATCAACAGCATTGCTGGAATCAAATGTAGTTCTTCCATAGTTTTTATTATTACTAACATACGCATGCGATTGATGAGTTGGTTTATTTAAAGCCAAATTCTCTAAAAATAAAACTATTGTCCAGTAGTGTTTATAAAAATTACAATCACCAAACAATCATTTTTCTCAATAAAAGTCACACGTACATAGCAAATTAAGGTTCCTCTAAAGACAATTGCAAAGAAAATTTGATTAGTTAATTTTATCCTTAGAATATCTGTTACACGGGGAACTCTTATTCCAAGCAATTTTGGCAACTTCATAAATAAGGTTTGCAGAAGTATAACTCTCAGACTACACTAATAATGCACAATAATGTGTCTTGCCAGTGTTTACAGTGTTGCTACACACAAAAATGTGCCTTTAGTGGAACCCTTGATATATATTAAATGAAAAATAAAAAAAATGTTGAAAGTTCACTGGGAAATGAAGGTGGTTGATCACGTGATCAATTCCTGTGAAGCTCGAAGGGCTTCTCAGTAGATTTGATTACGTACCAACCAAGTTCATTTCCCAGTGAACTTTTTGAAATTGTTGTTTATTACTTTTATTTACATTTGAGACGAATATTCGAATAGAAACATACCGGTTCGGTAGCTCAATCGATAGAGCGCTCGCTCAGTGATCGGAAGGTCGTGTGTTCGAATCACGGCCGCGACTGACCTAAGTCGATAAAAAATTGGTTAGCAACTGTTCCTTCGCCAAGGGCTCGGTACTTTGAAGTGAAAGTTGCAGGTCATTCGGGTGAGACCTTAAAAACCGAGGTCCCTCGTCATGGTAGGCGTTTGCACGATAAAGATCCCTCACTGCTTAATGGTCCTGAGTGCCAAGTAAAGGTCTAAATTTGAAGCCCCTCACCGGTATATTGTGACGTCTCTATATGAGTTAAAAATTTTCGAACGGGAAATAAAACAACATAACATTAACCAATCAATCGAATAGAAATATCACACAAACGGTCCGCAGCATCATTATGCTGTGACACGCAGTGACCTGGATTTGGAAGTTATTTACTAATGAAAGTTCGTTTAGATCCAACATTTGAATGTTTATAATGATGTTTCGCGATCAAGTTCAGGAAATCTCTGTCCATAATGATAGGACAATGATCGATATTGAAAGCAATCTTATTGTTTTGAGAGTCCTCTTATATGTGGAGACAAAGGCAGTGGTATTGTCTATTTCAGTTTATATACCTTAAAAAGGAATTTCGGGTAAAAAAGGTAAGCGCGATTTCAATTAATATTTAAAGGACTTGTCCCATGTTTCTAATTGCTTGAAATGAAAAGTTTATTTTGTCCATTATGAACATAATTTATAGATTTCGTGTTTTTTTTTTTTTGTGTAGATAACGCGGTAATTATATTTCATTGATTAAAATAAAAAAAACCCTCAGTTAAAAATCCAAGTTAATTAGATAGCGGTCACGTGACCATGATACGTCATATCCGACAATGGCTGATTAGCTATGTACGCTTTATCTTACTAAAATGTACGCTATCTGTATGAAGTTGAATATTCAACCTTTTTAGAACTGTTAACAAGAAAAAAATAGTTACGAAAAATATATGTAAACATGGTAAATTAACCTGTTAACAGTGATGACAGCGAGGGAGATGAGCGAAGACGTAGAAACTCGCTTGCACAATATAATTATATTATTTGTCATCTTCTCACACGTATTATCCAATTTCATTCACAATCTTAAAATTACAGAACTTTGCTTATTCATTTTATTTAATAATCTTAAATCAAATCATATAATGTAAATACCTGAGCGACTAAATCGTCAATGAATCAAAAGTGAATGCAGGACCAGGGTAATATTGATCATTATACCTATAGTTTGAAAAGGTGACGGGATCTTTACTACTTTTTTCTTTCTTCTATAATCAGTTACTGTTATTAAAACTGAAAAAGCTCTGCAATAAATCAGCAAGTTTTTTGGAGATTTAAAATTTTAATTTTCTTACTAACATCATTACACCGTATAAATCTACATTTTAGATCGTAGATCGTTTATAAAATCTACATGCATACATTTATAAATTCATCTTTAAATAAATGTTTACACTTAAATAAGAACAATTTCATACCTCTAAAGTTATTGAAAAGCACGTAAGATTCGGAATTTTCCTTATTACCCTACATTTGTCATTGATAACTTCGTTAAAAGTATATAGTTTCTCATCTCACTATAACTGAATTGTTGCATATGACGCCACATCAGTACGGCGCCGAAATCCAATTGAAATATCGCCGTATTTGAATTTTAACTCTAAATTTCTCTTAAAATGTGCTTACAGCAACCTTTATTTTATTCAATATCTTGATAATGAAGACTTCTAAATAATATTTTTCATAAAATTACGAATTTTAATAAGTTCATATAGAATTAAACATCTATGAAAAAAAAAAATTGCAAAATGTAAATATATATAAATAAAATTGCAATATAATAACGCTTTCTTAAATGAGTTTTGAAAGCATGTATTATGTATCTTCTTAAACACAAGCATTCCCAATTCTTGATGATTTATGGAGCATTTACAAACAGAAATGGGTATTTTAAATCCATTTAAAGCAGATCATATCTATGAATTCTTACCATATCCATGGATAATGTGTAGAACAACTAGTATCAGAACGATACGTAGCATGTTGTTAAGAGACAGCCTTATCAATCAGGAAGTTAATTTATTAAAAAATAAAATAGACAGCACAATCTTTCTTAATATTAACTTTGTGCACAGAACAATTGTTAAAGCTCTTAACAGTATTTATATAGAGGAACGCTTTATGTAAAGCAGAAGATGAAATTGATAAAAGCAAATAAATATAAGGGAAGATAAGGTAAGTACTTATGGAATGAAATATTTCATGAAGTAAATGAAAAAAAAAAAAGATTAGAGAGAGACAGAGATACGGACAAGTAGAATGAGACATTTTTCTATCTCTACGACTAAACACCTTATATTGGAATAAGTAATAGCTACAGGAAATGTTTTTAAATGCTTAACTGTTGTATCCAGAAAAAAAGAACGGTTTTCGAAACTTATTGAAGGACTTTTATTCTCTTTTTTTTCAATTTCTAAATGGCTGTCTGAAAGACGACTCTTAAGTAAAGACAAGATGATCGCCAGGCTTATAACCACAAGGTACTGTTTGGTCGATGATAACCTATTTTGTTGCAATCTGAAAAACACTAGCCCATATTACACAGGAAACAAAAATAAATAGGTAAATGTCCTTACTTAGAAAAAAATAAATATCTACTGCGTGGTTCTTTTCTTATTCAAGTAAGTGTATATATGTGAATCTTTGAAAACATCATTATTTGATCCCAATAACCCTATGTCTCACCACAGGGAGAAGTTTATATAGAAATACAACTGCTTTGTCTTTTCTTTTATCGAAGAGAAGACACTTAAACATTTCTTTAGTAAAAAATAAAAATTTACTACATGTGAAAAACTGCAACTTACTCATCATTATCAGGAGTTGAGTATGGGACACCTTGAACATTTGTAGTATAAAATGTGTTTATGCTTGTAGTAAAATTAAATCATACATTTTTAGAGTCAAACGAAAAAAAAACATTTTCATCCTCTGTGAACTCAAACTACAAATGATTTGCTGCATATTGTGAAAACAGCGACCTTTTCCCAGCGTGATTTTAATCTGCTAGAAATTACTCAAAATGTAGTAGACCAAAATTATATGTATAGTTACAGTAACACATTAGCTGCCAAACACACAAAAAATCGTGATTTTGGATCGAAATCATCCATTTCCTCTGAGAAAATACACATTTTCAATTAAAACTGGCTTTCAGCAATTAACTTTAGGTGTTTTAATTTTTATAGTGTGGATATCAATACACGGTGGCCCCTGGGATGCAGAAGTAGAAGAATATAGATTGGCATTCCAAACAGTCCATACCCTCCAATTACACCATACCTTTGAACATCCAGTCACCTGATGTTAGTCAGGGGATGGCTTGCAGCAGAGACCGCACTTCATTATTTAACTGTCACAATTAAAGGCTGTATTTCTGTTCCGAAAAAAAAGAAAAAAATAAGAAACAAAACTTCATTTTTAATTCGAAATTCAGATATTTGTTTTTCCTTTATACCTTAGATAAAATACTCATAGATATTATATCATAAAATGTATATGTCTTAATTTGTAAGGAAGCAATAAGTTATTTCGTATAAACTTTAAATATGACGTCACATTTATTTTATTATTATTTCATTCTAAAGCGGGAATACTTTCATTGAACTGAGTTTCTGATATCCTTCCACATATTTTCTTTCACAATATCCATTAATGTGATGCGGGTGGAGTCCGACAGAATCTACGGAGAAAGGTACAAAATTTCCGAACGTACGTCTTTAGAAACTAGAACATAAATGAAATTACAAAGAAAATATACTTTTTTACCAGAGAATACCTAATCAGGTTTATTTCTTATTTTATTTCTTCTTAATTTAGATTTGCTAATAACACATTTCAAATATCTTTTTTTAACTAGAATTTTGTTAGATAGTCAAACATTCCTTCTGTGATTTTAAGACATTCTTATTATCAGGGGAGTATACAAAAGACAGTGGATTCTTTATCTTTCGGCAAAAGCAATAGGAAAAAATTTCATTCAAAATTTCGGTTCCCCTTAACAATAGGAAAATATACCCTGTGAACATTGAAGTCCTTCGCAACCAGGCTAATACCAGCCACCCTCCGATTTTTTTTTTTTGGGGGGGGGGCACAGTACCCGCAACGTTATTCTTTACAATTCCATCGTGTCCTATCGTGCGTGTATCCTATCGTATCGTGCGTATATCCTATCGGTATCGTGTTTTCCGTTTATCAGGTTTTGCGTTTTCAATCGTGTTTTACGTTTATCGTGTTTTGCGTTGATCGTGAAAATCGTTTATCAGGTTCTATCGTCTATCGTGTTTGATTTTATCGTGTACTTTCGGTGACTCTCGCTTTT